CTGTATACCAGTAATAGAATTAACAAAACATTAAATATAAACTAAATACAGTACTGTATACAGTACTGTACAATAATAAATAAAAAACAATAGAATACTGTATTTTAACTTACTTTGAGGTGTGTATGTCATATTATCGGCAGCTTTGTTTACATATCAAACAGCTGATTGTAGGGTCGATGATGATGCCAAATTCTTTACAGAGTGCATTGGTTCAAATGCCTTCTTCATGCTTCATAATAATTTCTGCACTGTATATTATCAATATGTTAACTAAATTTCTGATTGACCAATAATTTTAATGTAAAAATGCAAAAATATTCAAGAGACCAACAAAATTAATGTTCACTCCACTGTAAACAAAGTTAAACTGAGAAGGAATTTTGGGTGATTCTATCAGCTGATGGGCGCACAAAAATTGTTCCCTGTACTGTCTATATTATTAATATGTTTACTAAATTTCAGAATGGCCAAGAATTTTAATATAAAAAATGCAGAAATATTCAAGAGACCAACTTTCTTGATATTTACTCCCAGTGCCAGATTAAGTTTATTAGGGGCCTGAGGCACAGATCAGCTTGGGGGCCCCGTACCCTAAAGGTATATATAAATAACAATGGAGTCCCGGATCAGCTGAGTGTTGTCAGCTACTGTTGTCAAACAGACTAACAGTTGCCACACGCCACTACAGAGTCACTAAACTGTATATGTATGATCCAATTGGACACATTAAGAACGAAATAGTTAATGACTTACTTACTAATTGACCATAAATGGCATATATAGCTAAATATTTTTATCCTTAGAATTTAGGGGCCCCTAAGAGTCTGGGGGCCTGCGGCCAGTGCCTCATGGTTAATCCGGCCCTGTTTACTCCACTGGAAACAAATGTAAACATCGAACCAATTACCGTATTGGCGGACTAGCTGATTAGCTGATGCACACAACAAAACGTGTTTGTCGTAAGGATTTCGTTAATCAAAGTTTTGTTCGTTAATCGAACTGAAAATCCTTATGGGAGCTAATTCGTTAAACGACATTTCGTTAATTGAACCGTTCGTTAACCGAGGGACCACTATAATTGTATTTAACAGACAGTGCTTGCCTCTGTACCCATAATTCCCACAAAAAAAGATGAAATTCAACAAAACTGATAATGCATCAGCTACTGTATAATTATGGTGCATGTACAATATTAGTTCACTGCGCTGTACAGTAAAGTATATACGTAAAGGGATGTGGTGGCTGATTGGGGGCAGCCCTTACCTCTTGTCCTGAGGATCAGTGGTTCATGATTAGGGAAAATGGATAGCTAACTTTATAAGTGAAGAAGTGAAGATAGTAAAGTAAAGTGCCAGTCACACTGTGTAACAAAGGGTAAAAATAATTCCACTCCCATGCAATTACACTGGTAAATTTACTCCCTGCAAGAATTTACTAATGTGCTTCTTAACTGGTGTTACCCGCAGTAGCTGCAGAAATGAATAGGTTTTAGGAGAATACATTTTGATGGTTGTATACCAACCACAGCTGGCAGCAGTAGCAGCCATATGTAGGATAATTAATTCCCAGTACAATCACTTTAGATAATAATAAAACAAAATTATACTGTATAACTTAAGATTTAATTTAAGTAGTTCTAAAATGTAATAAAAACAAATAATTTAAATATTTTAAATATCCACAAGACGACACTATCAGTGACATGACAGTGTGGTGTCACTTACAGGAATGGCCTAACTTGGCAAGTGGTTCAACTACTGCTGCCAGGTGAGGGTTGGTCAGAACTTGTTCTTGAAAACTTTCAACCATGAATCACATCATTAACAGCATCCGGAAAAGAAGAAACTTGCACAGGATAAGAATTACATACACGAAGCACAGAAAATAAATGATGATGGGTCCAAGACTTATCATTAATGTAAAATAAAGTTCTGCAAAGCATGAGTCCAAACACTGATGCATGAGGAAGAATCTGGCATTATTATATGTGCTGGTGAACATAATCATAGTTCCTCTGATGCAAAACTCCAAGTTTGTACAACATTAGCTAACTTGAAACCTGCAGTAATCAATTTCCAGGAATCTTCTCATCACTTATTGCAACTGCCAATTCAAACTTTGATTAGAGTTATATGGCAGAGCCAACATCCACTTCATATTTCAAGCAAAATACAAGGAATTGACACCAAGCAAAAGAGAGAGCCCCCCCCATTTCCTCAAACAGGTCTGTCTATGAAATTTCAGAACAGATTCCTATATACCTGTATTGGCAAATTTCTTACAGTTTGTTAGTGGTGAGAATGACATACTGTACAGTACTGTATATACAGTGGTCCCTCGGTTAACGAACGGTTTGATTAACGAATTACCTCCCAAAAGGATCTTCAATTCGGTTAACGAAATCCTTACGAAAAACACGTTTTGTTGTGAGCATCAGCTGATGGGCTAGTCTACCAATTCAGTACTCTGTTCTATGTTTACATTCGTTTCCAGTGGAGTAAATATCAAGAAAGTTGTGCTCTTTAATATTTTTGCCTTTTTTATATTACAATTATTAGTCATTTTAAAATTTAGTTAACATATTGATAATATTTAGCACAGTGCAGTGTTGATTTAAATAAAATATTCTTGAATTACACCTAGTGAACTTAAAATTTTATTGGTGAAATTACTCCATCAAGCTTGGGTCCCCTGAAAGGTGATTTCTCCTCCATCCCCACTTCCTTGTCTTCTCCATTCTCCTTCACCCCCACTTATAATTCCCATCATCATCATCATCAACCAGGAGCCTTCTACATACACACCTCAAAGTAAGTGTACTTTAATGCATTTTTTTTTTACTTTGTATGTACTTTTCTGTGAGCTGGAACCAATTTCCCAATATCCCATTGAAACAATGGATTCCGTTAAAACAAAATTTTTGGTTAACGAAAGACCTTCTGGAACGAATTGTGTTCGTTAACCGAGGGACCACTGTATTACTTGTGTTTGCCACAGACAAGGGTGTGTATAACTTAAGAGTATGTCAAACATTAGGATGATGATAGTACTTTCAAATGCTGCCCAAATATATTTCATGATCTTTACACTCATTCTCAGGGTATGGTCATTCAGAGTTCCAAGATTATTTGCTTTTCCAAACAAGACACAAGAAAGGTACACTGGACTTTTCATTTTCCACAATGTTTCATTATGGACTTTAAAAAAAGTCATAACACCAGCTCTTTTATCACCCATTCCAACTGCTTCTGTTTCATCTTGCCTGTTACACCTCTCAGAATATTCATTGAAAAGTAGTTGAAATTGGTATGAAAGTAAAATCTAATTGAACCAACATTTACTACTGACACTCGCTATGTCCATAACAAACGAGAACAAGTTACCAACAAGTAAGTTCTTCTTGATAAGACATAATCCAGACACAATCGACTTTTTAAGAGGTATGGCTTATAACTTGCATCACTTCTAATAAATTTTTATTGTATTTTGAAAACAATTGTCACTTTTAATGTGGTTATTTCTTTCACCGAGTCATTTTTAATATTTTTCTTCTTTAATAAATATACACTTGAATGGTCTTTATTTACTATTCACCTTAAACTGTTTAAGGAAGTGATTTTACCAGGAGTGAAATGCATGGGGAATGAGCGAGAATACCGGAGCGAAAATGCTGGGAGTTAAATTAACGGAAGTTAATTCTTTAAGAAATGTTCTAATGGCTTGGTAGTTACTGTAGTAAGCTCATAGCAGGCCTTCAGGCCTGTGGCACAATACCTGTACTAGTTCAATGTATATTACAGCATATAAAAGTATTCCATTCAATTAATAACTACAGTATTTCAATTATCAAACTTATATCAGTGTCCATAAGGTTTGATATCATTTTAACTGCATGTCATTTATGTAAAGCATGAATCTTTTATGTGAAAATGCATTAAATGTGTAGAGACTATGAAATAAAAAGAAGTGCTAGATTCACTGAAAAGCATACTGCATATATGAAGAACTTTTAAATCCCTTGTAATCTAAGTTTGCACACAAGTGAATCTCTTAGTGTGGCTGACAACTAAATGTCTGTTTCACCCAGCCTTCACTGTAATAATTCATCCCAATAGAAGTCACTAAAACCCAGAACCCTTGGAAATATTTCAGCCCCACCACTGATCATAATTAAAAATCTGCTAGGATTATGCCATATTAACTAACACTTGAAGTAAACATGGCATAATAATGATTAACTAAAAAAGCACTCACCTTCACTCTGCACACTGAAAATGTTAATTGATTGTGTATGATATAATCATACACCAAAACCAGAGAATACTGTAATTAGATAAAGTACAAAAGAGAACAAGAATAACAATTATCCTCAAATGATCCATTGGAAAGTAATGGCAGTAGTATGACCTAACTAGATTTTGAAGAAATGTTGTTGACTTGATGACCGGTGGAAGCATAAACTTCCATTCAAGGCCAAATGGGGTTAAAATTGTGAGAGTGAGCTATGGGTTTCAACCCCTGGTCTTAAGATTTACTAGACCTTGAAGCAGCTGTAACATCAAATGCATTGAATCTTCCACCTTGGTATGGCAAAGTGAGAAATGTCACTTGCAGGAAAAAACAGTATCCTACCTTGTCCGTCTTGATAGCATATTTTGCTGTTACCTTGTCAGGGTCTTCTGGCAACTGGTAGGCTATGTCAGTGGTTGTTTAGCATTATGGAACACAAAGGTCAGCTGGTGATGACACATAGGTCATAAAAAATATAATGTTACCACCTGTTTGTTTCAATAAAATAAAGGTTTCTGATTGGAATACATAATCGTGTTTGATGAATAATAGGTTGCTGGTACATACTGATAATTACTGGAATTCTTGCATTTTTACATTTGATTAAAATATCAATTACTGATACATGACTAAAATCTTGTGTGTTTTACATAACCATACTTTCCCTTCCATAGTTTACCAAGGAATTTTAATTAGAAAATAAAGCCTGAGAGTTAATATTTTATTTATTTATTTAATTTTTTTACTTGGAACTATAAAATTCTACAACATAAAATGTTGTTATCTAACAGCCGCTTTTCCTAAAGAATTGAAAGAGCCATTAAGTAAATATAATGGACTTCATATTTTCTTCTACATACCATTAATCAAACATTGTTGTAGATTTTTTTTATACATCTTTATCATAGTCCTTTTCACCTATTAATTTTTCTTCCATGAGTAGAACATTTCCATAGGTTTATTTACTCTCCAATATTTCTCATTAATTTGCTCCAATGTTAGAGAACCACCAACACCAATATACTGATCTGGAGTTGGTGCAATGTAGATACAAAAGTTGTTGAGTGATGAAGGAAGTTCTGTCTCCAGTTCTCCTGTACGGTTTGCCAAAGTCAGTCTCATCGCAAGGTACTTGGATAAGTGATCAACTGTAAGAAGACAAATAAATTGTTTTATGAACAATGACATCTACCACACTTAAAAAATGAGAGAACAATCTGAGATCCCATTACAGTATACAACCCAGCATGACACCTTGTCAAAAAGTTTACCCAAAAGTTCCCAGGTACCTTTCACTTGTGTGACTGGGACGACCTGGATTTGGGTCCCTAACCCCGTCGTAAGTTGAGGAGAGACTGTAGTTAGGATATTTATATGTTTAGCTAGGGCACTGGTGTAGGGTTAGTGGTTAGGATTTGTCTTTATAATTAGTCATTATTGTTATTAAATATTAAAAACTCCTCCTTTGTATAATGTCCACCCTTTTCCCCTGGAATCTTTCTTAAATTACCTTACTTTTGTTACAAGTTGGCCTCTATGGGTGGACCGACATTAAATTTAACTAGCTAACTTGTAACAGTAAACACTTGCTTAAACACACTACACACACACTTGCATAGAGAGTGGGGTTTCATTTTGAGTGGGTATACAGTATATTGTACTGGTACACGTCCACGCATAGGAAATCTGTCCTATAACACGTGTTAAAATTGCTATATTGTACTGAACTCTCCAGACTTTTACTGGAAGCCCAAGAAGTTAATTATGCAATACTCCATGGTCTGCACCAAATAGTGGAGGCAGGGCTGCATCAAGACAATCTAGGGCTCCGGGCACTTTATCGAGAGGGGCCCCCCTTACCCCATCCCCCTGCCTTTTTCAGGAAAAATAACAAAATTATAAATTTCAGATAAAGGTAGTTTATTTAATGATTTTTTTTAATTCAACTTAAAAAATAATAAACTATAAGGCCATTTCAAGTGTTTTCTCTTTAAGTTTTAAGTTGCATACAATCATTACCAGCAGTCATACTTAGATTACTCAGAAGCAAAAATTTACCTTTTAATAAAATAAAATTTGACAAAATTGTAGTAATCAGAATGTCTGATTTTAATTCATTTATTGGAAGAAACAACTGCATCTAGATGAAGTACTTTATAGATGTATTTAACTAAAAGTTAGCCTTTTGAGCTTTCATAGCAGCAAACAGGGAAACCACATCTTCAAAGTCAATCACACGTGTTAAATTGCTTTCAATGGACATGATGGCAAGGCAGTTCAGCTTATCTTGGCTCATTGTAGCACGCCTTTCACTTTTCACCAGTTTCATTTTTGAGAAGCTGCATTCTGCTTCACACATACTGTGACATGCAATGACAGAAATATTCTCAAAGCTATGCTGGCATTTGAAAAAATTGCTTCCAAATTCTGATGTTTTATGAACTTGAGCATCGACAGTGGTGAATCCATTTTCTCTTTCAATCTGACCATAAAAATTTTCAAATTCATCAGAATCAAAATCATCTCTGTATTTTGATGTGAGATGGATTACTCTAGTTGGTAAATGCTCTTTGTTTTGATCTGAGAAACATTTTAGAATTGCAAAATCATCTGCTAGTCATCTATAATCTTTTTTACATTGTGCAAGACAAGTCCGCAGTTTATCTATGATTAGAGTGAATGTTTGCACTCTGAACATCTGACCAGGGGATTCTATGAATTCTTCATCTGGTGATTAGCTTTCATCAAATATCTCTTTTTTTTTTCTCTGATGTTTTTCTTCATATTCATAATGTTGGTTTATGCCTGGCATGGTGTTCTTTGCATCATCTTCAATCTCGTAAAATTTTTCACTCAGTTTCTCAGTGAACTCCTCTAAGACTCAAGCAATGATGTGGCTGTCGGCAAATCCAAACTTTCCTTTTGCAGAGTTAGGCTCACTTTATTGAACCGAATAAGTATTCTATTCCACATTTTTGACATGAAACCTGTTTGAAGCTTTTCTAGACCAGCAATTAATCCATTTGCCTCTGACCTCATAGATTCAGGTTCATCATCATTAGCCACAAAGTTTTTCAGGTTTTCATATAGACTTTTTTTTTTTTTTTTGTAGTTCAGGCACAATGCTTTTGTAGCCTCAGCATGGCAAGACCATCTCATAGTTGACAAGCGTTTTAAAGTTAAAATCTTGTTGTTTTCATTTGGAGTGAAACCCTTTGTCAAGATAGCCCAACGACGTGTTTATCCTGCGCAGAAAGCATAAAGTATCTTCAGCAAACCAAAAATTTTTTGGCTTCAAAACAACAACTAACACCATGTACTCCTACCAGGTTCAGTGAATGGGCAGCACAAGGTAAATAATCAATGAGATTATTTACATCTTTGATTTTTCTTTGGAGATCTTCATATTTCCCAGACATATTGGCAGCATTATCGTACGATTGTCCAAGACAATTTTGAATATCTACCGTATGTCCAATTCATTCAATGTGTCCAGGACCTTATCACACATATTTTCTCCTGTGTGACTACTGATGGGAAGGTAAAGCAAAAAATGATCAACTGGTTCACCAGACGAAGAAACATACCAAATGGTGAATGCAAGTTGGTCAGTTCTTGGAGTATCGGGTGTAGAATCGAAACATAAGGAGTAGTATTTTGCACCCTGAATCTCTGCAAACAGTTGACAAAACCTTTCTAGCCATTACCAAATCATCACAAATGGTGGAGCTCAAGTAACTTGGATTTCCTTTGCTTTTATTTCCAAACCGTGAAATGTGACCAGCCAGAAATGGATCAAACTTGCTTATTAGTTCAAGAATACCTAGGAAATTACCATTATGGGGTGATCCTATGACTTGATCAGATCCTCTGAATGCTAATCCACGCTCACTCAAAAACTTTATAACTTCTACCAAATGCAAAAGTAATGAATGCCAATATTTCCTCTCATTTTCAATTTGATGACGGAGTTCATTGCCAATACAATTACCGATTTTTGATCGCTGTACATGGGCTAGAGTTGTTTTCTGTGATCCACTGAACATTCGTGTTCCCCAAGGGCTCTGGTGGTGTGTACCCAGTCATTAAAACCATGCACAAATGGTGAACTTGTAGATGTACTAGAGAAGAGCTAACATGTGAAAAAGCATAGTTTACCTTGTGATTTAGAGAAGAGTAACCATTCTCTCTTTACTGATTCGCCATTAATCAAAGTTCTGAAGAATGCAGAATAAGAGAGGAAATGGCATTTCTGATGCTAACCTGAACCATACGTTCTTAAGGTTCCTTTAAACTCAGAGTTGTGATGCTGACAAGTATTTGGCCCAGCCTTTCACCAGTAAATTTGAAGTACCTGTGATATTGGTCTTCTCCATTTTCCAGGACTAGTTTCATTGAACTGAATATCATGCCACTTAATTTCATCACTTTTCTTTGATTGGTCAGTTGTATGTGTAGTAGACAAAGTACTACAGCAAAGTTGGTCAGCTGTAGGTGTAGCATGAGCAGAAGAGGCACTACAGTGTACAAGTCTTTTTTTCTCACTTTGGTTTATATTTTAAAAAAACAAGTAACTTTTCTTATTTTTTTAAGTTCAGCCGAATTCTGTTGTTGTTTTTGTTTTCTGGCTATGTGCTTAGCAGCTCCACTTAAACCTTTGCCACTCATTATTTTAATAACTGAAACTGAAAGTCTGAAATGCAGAATAGAATATGATAAATATCATAAATTCACATATTTCATGCATAAGTAGACTGGTAGATATTTGCAGTTCCCCAAATTCACGTTATACCATAACTCTACAGCATAGAGTCATATTCATCCAATGCACAGTAAACTTAATAAAGACATAAAATCCAATGATAAATATGAATCAATGAGTGTCACGCCGAGCAGCTCTCACACAACAAACCCAAGCAGGTACGCGGCGATCGGACGTGACACAACGAGACTGAACGAGTGACTGTTGACGCAGCGTATTTCTGCTCCGAGGTAAGGAGGGGGTGTGGTGTGTGTGCACTAGCATTCACATTTAAACGAAAAGATAGTGCAAACTGAGAAATACCAGCATGTATATTTATCAGTACTATTACTAATATAAATAATATACAGTCAACCCTCACTTTACGCGGTCCCACATTCCGCGTTTCCACGTTTACGCGGTACCCTGCCGAAACCGAGATGCTCACATTCCGCGGTGCGTGTACCCCTTTACGCGGAGAGTGTCCGGCTCGACGCTATTTTTAGATTCGCCCCACCCGCCTGCTCCCGCCTCCGCCTGGGCAAGCCTCGCGGTAAGGTTGCGCAGTGCATGTCTCTGTTGCGTTATCAGTGACGTCATATGACGTATCGGACTGTGATTGGCCATGCATCCCTACCTCCCTCCGCTGCTAGCTGTAATTGGTTTAAAGTAATATGACGTGTCCACCCGGGGGAGGGAGGGAGGGAGGAAAGACGACGCTTGACCTAGCCGCGGCAGTTTCATCCCTCCAGGCCACACCGTGTGATCGTGCATCCGTTGTTCTGTAAAATGGCTTCCGCCGGACCACCGCCCCCAGAGAGAAACCTTTCCTTGCCTTGACCCAGCCGCCCTAAGCCAAAGAAGACACGACGTTCCTTAAGCTACGAGGTGAAGTACAAGATCATCCAAGAGTTGGAGAAAGGAACAAGACAGGTTGATTTGGCGCGCCAGCATGGTGTGAACGAATCTACGATCCGGACGATAAAGAAGGATGCAGCCAAGATGGAGCACATGAACATCACAAAGTCTACAGGTGCTTCTATGATCAAGTATTTTCACAACCAGGTGCTTCTCAAGACAGAAAAATTACTTGTGAGGTACTTGGTGCGTCAGGCGCGACGGAACATGGCGGTCGACACGCGCTCTGTTAAGGACTACGCACGTGAACTGTACATGGCAGTGGCACGAAAGATGGGAATTACAGAGCCGAAACCCTTTAATGCTTCCTCTGGGTGGTTACAGAGGTTTAAGAAGAGGAACAAGATCACCAATATCAACATTGGTGGTGAAGAAGCTAGTGCTGACTGTGTTGCGGCTAGGGAATTTCCTCCGTTTTTACGTGAGATTATGGAGGAAGGACAGTACACCGACGACCAGGTGTTTAACATGGACGAATCTGGTCTTTTT